CCCTTCTCCTCCATTCTCCTCTCGGGATCTTGGGCACGCACGCACACGCGCCCGGCGTGAGTTTTAAGCCACCGGGTCCAGGACGCGAACCGCGGTCGACTACGTGGGAGTCCAGCAATATAGCCATTACGCTAACTGCTGGTTCCCGAGAGAGGTTTTTGTATAGGGTGCGTGCACTTGCCAGAAAGATAGAGACAGACAGACAGGAAGCAAGAAATCACCCCCTGGGGGGATGGCCACATCCCAATCCCTTTTCCTCCATTCTCCTCTCAGGATCACACACACGCGCCTGACATGAATTTGAAATCACCAGGTCTAGGACTCGAACCACGGTCAACTACATGGGAGTCCAGCGACATAGCCATTACGCCAGCTGCTGGCCCTGGGAAATTCAGATTTCTTTTTTTTTTCCGAGGTTTTTACTATAGGGCGCATGCGTTCACCAGAAAGACAGAGAGAGACAGAGAGATAGAAAGCGAGAAATCAACCCCCAGGGGCATGGCCACATCGCAATCCCTTCTCCTCCATTCTCCTCTCAGGATCACACACACGCGCCTGACATGAATTTTAAGCCACTGGGTCTGGGACTCGAACTGCGGTCGACTACATGGGAATTCAGCGACATAGCCATTGCACTAACTGCTGGTCCCATGTATTTCTAACAGGCTCTTACATGATGCTCATACTGCTGGTCTGTGGACTGTGCTGAGTGGCAAGGATTTAGAGCATCAGTTTGCAATAGAACTTTCTGCAATGATAGGGCTGGTCCCGTGGCACAGCAGCGGCACACTGCTCAAGAGAAGAGGGATCCTACATGGTGATTGTGGTTTGAATCTCTGACCCCATGGGCCTGAAACATGCTGGACACACGTGTGCACATGAGTGCCCAAGGTCTGATGGGCTGGAGGGCTGGGGGAAGGGGAATCTCAGTGTGACCAGACCCTGTGGAGGGTGCTCCTCTTTCGATTTCTCTATTTTTCTCTCACTGTCACATGCATGCACCCTGTTATGAATAAAGAAAAAAGAACTTTCTGCAGTGATAGACATGCTTTACTGTTGGGGCCGGCAGGTGGCGTGGCGATTGCGGTTTCAGTCCTGGACTTGGTGGCTTGTTTTCTCACTTTCCCTCTCTCTCTGATCAAATTAAAATAATAATAATGAATAAAATTAAATAACTATTTAACAAAGAAATGCTTTACTCTTAGTGATGCTGTCGTGAGTGTTAGCTCACACGAGCGGCACCACGTGTAGTTTGGGCAGGCTCTGTCCCACTTCACGGATGAGGAAACTGAATTTCAGGGACGTGCCTTGGTAAAAAAAGTAAGTAACAGAAGTGAAACGCGAACACAGACCTAGCGTTCTTTCCATGATGTGACCTTGCCTTCCAGGTGACCCTGCTTCTCCAGGGCCAGAAGCTTATCTCAGAACCTTGTGGGATGTGATGTGATTTTTCTGGAGCTAGGACATGGGAAGTGTAGTTGGGTGTATGCCTGAGCCAGTTCACTGGCGTTGTGAGCTCCAGCTCGGGTGACTTCAGGACACAGTGCTCACTTGTCCTGGGTCACCTGTGGGGGCTCCACGGGAAGCACTTCAGCATTTGTGCCTGAACACAGCGAAAAGGTGGGAGAAAATCCGGAGTTGGAGCTGCATTCACAGAAGGGCTGGAAATAAGTTAGGTTGAGTTGGGAGAAGGACAGGCTAGAGAAAGCTTGTCGGTAAAGAGGAATTTTTTTTTTCCTTTTAAATTTGCCATAGGGCATGTGTGCTTGCCAGAGAGAGGCAGAGAAAGTAGACCTCACCCCCGAGGGAGGATATCCATGCCGCAATCCCCTCCTGCAATTCTCCCCTCAGAACTTCAGGCGTGCACACATACATGTCGGTTATATTTCTCAAGCTGCTGGGTCGAGGACTCAAACCACCCAGCTGGTTATGTAGGAGGCAGCAGCTTTAACCACCATGTCACTGTGGGCCCTGCAGAAAGGATTTTCTAGAGAATAAAACAAGAGGAACTGGTTTTGCTATTGCAGCCTGCAGCAGGACGTTTGGAGATTATGTAACAGAGCAGGCGGAGGTGCTACCTGTTAGGAGAGTAGCCTCCCCGCTACTGTATTTGCGGAGGCTTGGGTCCAGGGTCCTCTCCCCTTCTACTGTAGTGGCTTATCCCATTTAGGCATGACAGTGGCTTCTCCTGTCACTATGACAGTGGTAAAAGTTACCTGTCTTGGGGCCAGAAGGTGCTGGACTCCCGCATGGCCAACTGTGATTTGAGTCCTGGACCCAGAGGCTTGAAACTCATGCCAGGCACATGTGCATGTATGCCCCAAATCCCAGGAGAATGAAGAAGGGATTGTGGGATGGCCATCTCCCCCGAAGGGAGGCAGTGATTTCTTGCTTTTGGTCTCTCTGATGAGCGCACGTGCCCTGGAGCAAAAATCTCTCTAAAAAAATTAATAAAATAAAAATGACCTGTCTCCGAGTCCCCATTTCCTTCTGGGAATCTAAGATAGATGGCATGAGTGTGCCATGAGGCAAAGTGGGACATGGGCCATCCACCCTGCCTTAGGTTTCCCAGCATGTGCTGCTGGTGTGTGGTGATTGAGCCTGGCAGGGTGAGAAGGCACCCACACAGCCAGGTCCGGGAGCAGAAGGCTTTGCTGTGCTGAACCTCTCCCCTGCATGGCCGGCAGTTGCATGTGCCTGGCAGGAGGCCCTTCTGCTGGAGCCCTGCTGCTGTTTGTCCTGTGATGACACGGGCCTGCCTCGCGGCCGAGCCAGGTCACTCCACTGTCACACGAGGGAAGCAGAGGCGAGGAGGCTCTTGGGTTTTCCCAAACAGAGCTGAGAGAGCATCTGCATGGCCAGGAGCTCATGCTTACCCCTTAGGTGACCTGAGTCATGAGGACATCAATTCTGCCTCCCTTGGTGGGCTTTAAAGTGCACAGAAGGATTTGTGTTGAAATTCCTCAACCCTCAAGGGGGTGGAAGACATGGTGGAGCAGAGGAGAAGTCCTGACCTAGGACTTCTATCATTTGAAACTCATTTTCTCTTTAAGAATTATTTTATTTGGGGCCGGCAGGTGGCATGGTGGTTAAGGGTGTTGGACTCCCACATGGTTGACCATGGTTGGAGTCCCAGACCTGGCAGCTTACTGTCTCACTTCCTCTCTCTCTTTGTCCCTTATCAATAAATAATAATTTATTTTATTAAAAATAAATAAAGTTAAATAAAATAATTCTCTTTAAATAATTATCTTATTTAACTTTATTACTTACATGCCATGAGTGTTTTCTTTTTTTTTTTGGAGAGGTTTTTGCTATAGGACTCATGCATTCGCCAGAAAGACAGAGAGACAGAGAGACAGAAAGCGAGAAATCACCCCCCCCCCAGGGGGGATGGCCACACCACAATCCCTTCTCCTCCATTCTCCTCTTTGGATCTTGGGCATGCATGCACACGTGCCTGGCGTGAGTTTAAGCCACCAGGTCCGGGACTCAAACCATGCTCAACTACATGGCAGTCCAGTGACATAGCCATTACGCCAACTGCCGGTCCTCCTCTCCCGCCTTTTTTTAAAGGTTTTTGCCCTAGGGCATATATACTCACTGAAGAAAGAGAGAGAGACAGTGAAAGGAAAGTGAGAAATCACCTTCTGGGGGGATGACCACGCTGCAATCCCTTTTCCTCCATTCTCCTGGGATTTTGGGCACACATGTACCTGGCATGAGTTTAAAGCCCCTGGGTCCAGGACTTGCACCATGGTTGGCATGTGGGATTCCACTGACATAACCACTACACCATCTGCTGGCTCCCCGGCATGTTTTTCTTTTTTCTTTAGATTTATTTATTTATTTATTTTTGGAGAGGTTTTTGCTATAGGGCGCGTGCGCTTGCCAGAAAGATAGAGAGACAGAGAGACAGAAAGCAAGAAATCACCCCCTGGGGCGATGGCCATGCCTCAATCCCTTCTGCTCCATTCTCCTCTCGGGATCTTGGGCACACATGCACATGTGCCCAGCGGGTCTGGGATTTGAACCATGGTCGACTACATAGTCCAGCGACATAGCCATTATGCCAACTGCTAGTCCCTATCTATTTCATTCATTTGTTCATTCATTCATTTGATCAGAGAGGGACAGAGCAAGAGAGAGGAAAGTGAGAAAGCAAGCCACCAGGTCTGGCACTCGAACTGGGTCAGCCCTGTGGGAGTCCAGCACCCTTAACCACCACACCACCTGCCAGTCCCCCTGGTGTGTTTTTCAAACCTAGCACTTGACCACGTGAGATCTAGCTGCCTTAGCCACCATGCTCCTGACTGGCCAAACACCTGATGACGTCAGGCAGCTGACTTGGTTCGTATGACGTTCTAGGCGTTGGATACCCCTAACATGAGGGCCACGTGTATGTTCATTTATCCGGGCTTCAGTCCCTCTGTCCCCCGTGTCCAGTCCCCAGTCCTGCGTCTTCTCAAGCACACTGAGCGTCTCGAAGGCAGAGTGTCTCTGTCACTTTTCTCTCCTGTTCTCCAAGGCTGGGGCTGTGGTTTATGCACATAGGATTGTTGTCTAGCTCTGAGTTATCTGCTAACCAAAGAGGACTCTGACCTTTGGCCTGCTCCTGACCTCCTAACTCCTTTCATTGGCGGGAGGTGAGGGATAGGGGGATGCCTTATGTGAAAGAAAACCCCACTAGGCTCTTCCTCATGGTGTCTTCTAGTGCAGACTAGAGAAAACGTAAGTGCAGGGGAACCAGCAGATGGTGTAATGGCTATGTCGCTGGACTCCCGTGTCGTCGACTGCAGTTCTAGTCCCAGACTCGTTGGCTTAAACTCACGCTGGGTGTGTGGGCGTATGTGCCCAAGATCCCAAGTGAAGAATGAATGAGAAGGGATTGCGGCCTGGCCACCCCCCCAGGGGTGATTTCTCACTTTCTGTCTCTCTCTGTCTTTCTGGTGAGCGCATGTACCCTATAGGAGAAACCTCTCCAAAAACAAAAAAAAAAAAAAAGAAAGGAAGAAAATACAAGTGCAGAAAATACTAGTGTGTGTGGGTTTGAGGAGCTCCGAGGGGCCAGCACGGGAATCCAGAACAGAAGGTGACTCGGCTGGTCAACAGTGATAAACTCGCAGCCAGGACGAAAGGCCAAAGGTAGTGGCTCGGTCGCCGGCCAGGAGTCTCAGCAATGGAGTGCTCCTTTCAGCCTCAGGAACCTTCCAGGTGTCAGTGACAGCCTGCTAGCCTACGAAAAGGGCCTCCGTCCTGCCAGGTGGCCATTTGATCGCAGCATCCTCATCTCTGCCTGGGTGAGCCGGACACAAGTGGTTCCTTCCCAGCGCCGACACCAGCGCCCAGGCAGAGGCATGGAGTTCAGGGCAGATGGCCCTAGGAGCTGGGGTAGGGAACAGAGTGGGAGTCTCGGAGGTGAGGAATGACTTCAGAGGGGAGACCGGAGTGAAGGCCTGGTCGGGGCAGAGGAGGGGCAGCCTCCTGATCTGGAAAGGAAGACGGGTGGGGATGGGCATTCAGGCTGAGGGCAGGGGTCCTGTGCTTTGGGAAATGAGTATCCAGGAGGTACCCACCCCCCTAGTGCGGGGCTCCAAAGTTGCAGGGCGGAGCTCAGTGTTCGACCTCCACTCTGACATCCCGGCGCCCTGCTCCAACCCCAGGTCTTCAGGCACCATGGAGGACAAACGCAACATCCAGATCATTGAGTGGGAGCACCTGGACAAGAAGAAGTTCTACGTGTTCGGTGTGGCGATGACGATGATGATCCGCGTCAGCATCTACCCGTTCACGCTCATCCGCACCCGGCTGCAGGTGCAAAAGGGCAAGAGCCTCTACAACGGGACCTTCGACGCCTTCATCAAGATCCTGCGCGCAGACGGCGTGACTGGCCTCTACCGAGGGTTCCTGGTCAACACCTTCACCCTCATCTCCGGCCAGTGTTACGTCACCACGTACGAGCTCACCCGGAAGTTTGTAGCCGACTACAGCCAGAGCAACACTGTCAAATCCCTGGTGGCCGGCGGCTCGGCCTCCCTCGTGGCCCAGAGCATCACCGTGCCCTTCGATGTCATCTCGCAGCACCTGATGATGCAGCGTAAGGGCGAGAAGACGGGCCGCTTCCAGGTGCGGGCCAACGGAGAAGGACAAAGGGTGTTTGCCTTCGGCCAGTCCAGGGACATCATCAGGCAGATCCTGCGGGCCGACGGGCTTCGGGGCTTCTACCGAGGCTACGTGGCTTCACTGCTTACCTACATCCCCAACAGTGCTATGTGGTGGCCCTTCTACCACTTCTACGCAGGTAAGCGGGGCAGGAGGGGGCGCTAGGGGCTGTGCGTGTGCCTGTGGGAGGTGAGACTAAGAGGGAACGGGCCTCTCCGCAAACAGAGGATTCAGAGGTGAGTAAGGTAGTTCTTGCCTTCAAGGAACTTGCAGTGTAGACAGATGAATAGAGGGGCTGGAACCAGCAGATGGCATAAAGGTTATGTTTTATGTTGCTGGCCTCCCACGTAGTTCCAAGTCCTGAACCCGGTAACTTAAACTCACACCGGGCATGTGTATGTGTGTGCTCAAAATTGTAAGAGAATGGAGGAGACAGGATTACGGCATGGGCATCCTCCCTGAGAGGTGATTTCTTGCTTTCTGTTTGTCTCCCTGGTGAGCACATGTACCCTATAGCAAAATTCTCTCTCTAAGGAAAAAAAATATATATATATATATATAGAGAGAGAGAGAGAGAGAGAGAGAGAGAGAGAGGCTTAGGGCCTAGGAATATCATGGATAGCGTGCGCCTTTCAGCCTTCAGGAACCTCCTAGGTGTCACTTGGTGACATCCCGATAGCCTCCTAAAGGCCCTCCATCCTGCCAGGTGGTCGGTTTGTCCACGGCATCCTCATCTCTGCCTGGGTGAGCTGCTACGTGACCACAGCAGTGCGTATCGTCTGCTCGGGGCGTATTGGAATCAGCTGGGGTTAGCAGGATGTTGGCAGTGAATTGGGAGGGGGGAGGACAAAGTCCATGGGGTGTTTCAGATTTGAAGATGAAGCTGATAGGTAATAGTAAGCTGTTGGAGGACGAGCAGATGGCGTAATGGTTACATCGCCGGACTCCCACATAGTTGACCGTAGTTTGAGTCCCAGACCTGGTGCCTTAAAACTCAAGCTGGGCGCATGTGCATGCGTGCTCAAAATCCTGAGAAGAAAACGGAGGACGATTGCAGCATGGCCATCCCGCGGAGTGATTTCTCACTTTCTGTCTCTGTCTTTCTGGCAAGCACATGTACCCTGTAGCCAAAATCTCTCTCTCAAAAAGAAACAAGCTTTTGAAGTGGATGTTTTTCCTTAGCATTGGTCTGTTTTGTGTGTTTAGTTTATTTATATTTAAAAAAAAAAAAATCTGTCAGAGGGCACATATACTCGCCTGAGAGCAACATGGATAGGGAGCACCCCTCCATGGGGCATGGTCATGCTGCAATCCTTCTCCCTCACTTCTCCCTCCTTTGGGGTTTTGGACATGCATGTACATGTGCCTGGCGTGTTTTTCGTCACCGGGTCTGGAACTTGAACCACACTGTCGGTCACGTGGGATCCAGCTGCTTTACTCACCTGGCCACAGGTTGGTTCCCATAGTTGTTCTTCCATGAGCAAGAGAAACAGAGATGCCCTCTCAGCAGGGTCCAGACTCTGGTCACCTCCCGGTCTCAGCCCGCCTTGGGTCATGAGTGCGCATGGCTGGCATGCCCAGGGAGGTCTCCTGATGTGAACCTGGAACCTTCTCAGGTGGATCCGCCTCACACAGTGGCACGATTTATCACGCACCACTGACCAGCCCCTCAGCACTGTTAAGTTCAAGGCGTGATATAACTTAGAGCCTTCCGAGTCCTCTAACGTGTCATTGTCCATGAGACATTTGGCTCTAAGTATTTACTGAAAATGGGGTTCCTGGGGTCAAAGGAAACATTCTTGAGGGTCTCCACGGACACTGCTGGGTGGCCTTCTGCAAGGGCAAAGTGCATCGCGAAAGCAGGACCTGAGCGTGTCTGCTGCCCGGGGACCCCCAGAGCTCTGAGCAGCCACCAAGCCCCACTGGGCAGCGATGCTCGCAGCCCCGCGTCCCTGCTGCTGGCTCCTCACCCTGCAGTGGGCATCCAGTCCCATCCCATCTGGAACTTACTGACCAAATCAGATTTCACGGCTTCCTGGCCGGTGATCGTTTTGTCCTGGGGTACGGTACTTTTCTGGTGCTCCTCCTCTTTTTCTGGTGACATCTTCTCTTTGTTTTCTTCTGTTTAACACAGTCTTTCTTCTGGAGTATGTGCTAAGATTCAGATTCCTGGACTTCACCCCTGACTCTTTGTGACTGGATTCTGCCAACCTGTCAATCTTTTTTTAATGTTTTAAAGAAATATTGGGACTAGCAGATGGCATAATGGTTATATCCCTGGACTCACTCCCACGTAGTCAATTGTGGTTCAAGTCCTGGACCCAGTGACTCAAAATTCATGCCAAGCACATATGTTTGCGAGCCCAAGATCTCCAAAGGAGCAGGAGGAGAAAGGATTGTGGCATGGCCATCCCCCAGGGGATGATTAAAATAAACAAGTAAAATAAATAAAGTTAAAGAAAATAATTCTTTAGAAAAAAATCTTACTCTTTTTTTAAAGATTTCTTCCCTTTCTTTTTTTTTTTTTTTTTAAGAACTATTCTATTTAACTTTATTTATTTATTTTAATTTGACCAGGGAGGGACAGAGAGAGAAAAAGTGAGAAATCACCCCCCTAGGGGGGATGGCCACGCCACCTGCCAGCCAGCCCTGCAAAAAAATCTCTCTTTAAAAAAAAAAGAGGAATCTGCAGAGGGTGGTGGTTAAGGGCAGTGGACTCCCACGTGGCTGACTGTAGTTCTAGTCCCAGACCTGGTGGCTTTCTTTCTTTCTCTCTCTCTCTCTCTCACTCACTCTAGTCAAATTAAATAAATAAGTAAATAAAGTTAAGTAAAAATAATTATTTAAAAAAAAGATTATTTATTTGGTTTTATTTATCCTTTTTTAATTTGCTGTAGGGCATGTGCACTCACACAAGAGAGAGAGAAAGTGGGAAAGCAGGTTGCCAGGTCTAAGACTCAGACCATAGTCAGCCGCGTGGGAATTCAGCTCCTTAACCACATGCCACCTGTTGGTCCTCTCAACCTGTCGATCTTTTGATTTTTTTTGAGAGGTTTTTGCTACAGGGCGCATACGCTCTCCAGAGAGACAGAAAGCGAGAAATCACCCCCTGGGGGGATGGCCACTCCACAATCCCTTCTCTTCCATTCTCCTCTCAGGATCTTGGGCATACATGCACACGTGCCTGGCATGAGTTTAAGCCACCAGGTCTAGGACTCGAACCGTGGTCGACTACATGGGAGTCCAGTGACATAGCCATTATGCCAACTGCTGGTCCTCTTGTCTATCTTTTAACTGATTTTTTTCTTTTCTTTTCTTTTTTTTTTTTTTTTTGCCATGTGGGACCTGTCTACTTTTTTTTTTTTAAGTTTTTTTTCTGCCATAGGGCTTGTGTGTTTGCCAGAGAAGGACTAAGAGATAGTGAGAGGGAAAGTGAGAAATCATCCCCCTGAGGGGATGGCCACACTGCAGTCTCTTCTTCTCTACTCTCCTCTTAGGATTTTTGGCATACATGCACAAATGCCCAGCATGGTTTTTAAGCTACCAGGCCTGGGACTTGAACCACACTTTGCCAGGTGGGAATTTAGCACTTAACCAGTATGCCAACTGCGGGCCCTGGGATCTTGTCTACTTTAACCATCAGGCTACGGACCCGGCCCAGTGTTTTGTTTTTGTTTTTGAGAGTTTTTTTTTTTAAGCAAAAAATTATCTCCCGGGGAGGATGACCACACTGCAATCACTTCTCCTCCACTTTCCTCTCGGGATCTTGGGCACGCACGCACATGCACCCTGCATGAGTTTAAGCCACTGGGTCCGGGACTCATACCATGGTTGACTACATGGGAGTCCAGCGACATAGCCATTACACCAACTGCTGGTTCCCCAGTGATTTTTCTTTTTATGTATTCTATGTGAGAGAGACAGAGATGGAGACAGAGACACAGCACCCCTGACCGGATCCCGATACTGTGACCCGTCTCTAGCCTTAGGCCACCTAGGTCAGGGACACACATGTATCTGGCAGACTGTAGGAGGTCTCCGAGTCAAGGTGCAAACTGGCAACCTTCCCATAGGTCAGCCTTGCAGAGTATCAGCACCTCAGTATCTTATCCTTGCCCATTTTTACCTTTGGGCTCCCCCCTGGCCCCCAGATCCGACCATCCTAACATTACAGCTTTCCAGGAAATGTGAGCGTTTTCTCTGGAGTCTGCCTTTGGCACTTGGTTGCATTTACAATTAGAGCTGCATTTTCCCCACGTGTCAGGTGTCTCTGTTCCCAGGTTAACCTGCCAGAGCTCTGGGCAGGCTTTCTGATTTTTGGACTTCTTGACCTGGCGGCATCTACTTACATCCTCTGAGTTTCATTCAGTTAATGATTCTTCATCCCCATCTGGCCTGCTCTCTCTGGCTTATTCTGATCCGCCAGTGCTCAGTTATTCTCCAAGTCACTGAGACTGAAGCCTTGGGGATTGTGCAGACCCGTCCCTCCTGGCCACTGCACCAGCCTCTGGCTAACTCTAAGCTCCCTTCCTTCCTGTCCATCACATACATCCCTAATGGATTAACCTTTTAAGCCCTAATTGTGATGGGCGCTCCCACTGCTTTCTGAATAAAATCCCCTCTTCTGCCGGCAGCCACCTCCCTCCGCAGCCTCCCTCCGCAGTGAAATCTCCTGCTGCCCCCCTCGCACAGGCTGCGCTGCAGCTGGCCAGAGAACGCGCTTCCTCCACCATGCATCATCTTCCCTCCTGTGCTGTGTTCTTTATTTATGTTTTTAATTGCCAGAGGGTACCTGCACTCTCCAGAGACAGAAAGGAAGAAAGCACCCCCCAATGGGGCACCGTCTTGTCCCAATCCCCTCTTCCTTTCGCCATCCTGTTGGGATTTGGGGCATGCACACACACGTGCCCACTGTATGTGGATGTTGTGTTTTTAAAAAGAATTATTTATTTAATTTTACTGATTATTATCATTTAACCTTGCTATAGGCCATGTGTGCTCACCAGAGAGAGATGGGGGCAGTGAGAAAGGAAGCCACCAGATCCGGGATGTGGTTGGCCAAATGGAAGGCCAGCGCCTTAACTACCCTGCCACCTGCTGGTCCCCAGTGTGTTTTTCAAGCTGTCAGGGCTAGGATTT